GGCTGGATGCATGGGAGCCTGGGGCTGAGACCCCGTGCGGCCTTGAGCCCCTCTCCTGCCCTCCAGGCCCAGCTCAGCCTCCTGGAGGGGCCGGGCGGGGAATCCACCCCTGGTGACACAGAGAGGACGGGGCCTTCCCCGGGTCGCATGGCAGGCGACTGTGGGGGCTTGACCTGGACCCCACGAACGCCCTCTGCTTGGGGCCCAGGACGGAGAGGGTGGCAGGGCTTACACTGGCTGCGTGTTGCCCCCTGCTCCGAGCCCCTCCGTTGCCGCCTCTGGGCCGGGCACAGATTCGAGTTCACACCGCACACAATGGTGCTCACAGCGGCTGCCACATCGTCCTGGCCCCGGCCACCTCTGTGCAAATAAACTGTCACTCTGCCTTTGTCGCCAAACGCTTCTCGAAGGCTACAGAGGTGCCAGAAAACCCTGCTGTCTTCCCAAGGTGGGGAGGGGACAGGAGGAAGGGGACACACACAGGCAGGGTGGGGGCTGAGCAGAGGGTTGAAGGGGCAGAACAGGCTGCACGTGCGGGTGTGCGCGTGCGCGGGACGGAGACAGGGAGCCCAGGGAGGGGGCGGCCGGTGGGCTGGAGCAAGAGCGAGGTCGGCCCATGCTGCCCTCATCTCTGCCTCCTGTCTGCTTCCCCCCGTGGTCTGCCTCTCTTCCTGTCTCTGTCTCCACCTCTGTGTCTCTCCTCTGATCTGGGGTCTCCTCTCTTCCTCCAGCTCTGTGTCTTTTTCTCATCCTGTCTGCCTCTCTGTCTTCAGGTCCTTACTTGGGAGCCCCCCGCATCCAGGCTCCCCAGACACGTCGCTGGCTCCCCGGGATGGAAGAGGCACTGTGGCCTGTCCTGGTGACTCATGACCGCTTGGATGACGACTGAGACCAGACTGTCCCCTAATCTCTGGCTACAGTGCCCGCTGGTCTCTGAAGTGTGTGCACACTCACACACACACTCACACACACACTCACACACACACTCACACACACACTCACACTCACAGAGCTTTGCTTGCCTCCCACGACCCCAAGTATGGGCATGGAATGCACCCACAGTGCTAGCTGTTTACCTGTGCTGTCACCTGCATCCCCCGGACCTGAGACTTGGGTGTAACGGGGCTTGTGATGCAGGCGCTGAGTCCCCACTGTGTGCCCAGCCAGGTCCTGGGAGCTTTTGCACGTGGGGAAACTGAGGCACGGAGCACCTAGGTAACTGCCCCGGTCACCCTGTGCACAGGATGAGGTGGACAGGGACCTGCCGCATGTATTTATGTGCCACAGCTCCAGAGGTCACAGACATGTGTGTCTCGGGGCTGCTGTGCTGTATTCAGTGCTTGTAGGCGAGGGTTTATCTGTCTGAACAACAGACCCATACTTCGGGCCACTGTGGCCACTCAGAGCCTTGGAAGGCGTCTGGGTCTGCTGCCCCAGGACTTGCGTTTTTCTACCTCCTTGATGGACGACAGCCTGGGAAGTCCCTCTTGGGCCCTGGTGGTGGCCGGGATCTCCCCAGGCCAGGCCCACGAGGCAAAGGCAAAGCTTGAAATTTTCCGGTGAATTAAGCTGTCCCTGTGGCCCCCGGGACGTGCTGAGGGCAGCGAAGGGACGGGCTTCCCCGGGAAGGGGGCGCCTTCACATCAACGCCACGTGGCCTCTTTGTTCCTCGCCCTCCGCTCACATTTGGGTCAGGGAAGGACAGAGGGAAGCGACCTTCTGGGTCTGGCCTCAGTTTACTCATCTGTCAAATGGGAAGAACGGGCCCTGACCCCACAGGGCCATTTGGGGATTAGAAGGAAGGTGGTGGGCATCCCAGAGGCTGATGCTGGTTTGAGGGGCCCCTCCTGCTCACCCTACCTCCCTGTCCTGCTCCCCCCTTGTCCCTTTCTGGTGTAGCCAGGCGCCGCCCCATCTTCTCCCTGAGTCCGTGTTCATAAAGCACACAGTGTCCAAGGGCTTCCCCCTTGTCTTCGGGTGTCCCGGGACGCCTGCCTTCCCTGGCTGTGCCTCTGCTGCCCTGGGCAGGGCAGTCCCCAAGTCCCCAGTCTCCAGTCACCCTCCCCAGCCCCCAGGCTCCGCCGCTGCACCCCGCTTGGCTGATCCTGCTGGGGAGGGGCGGGGCAGCTCTGTCCCCTGAGGGAGGGGGCCCCAGCCAGCCTGCTGTGAGCCAGATAAGGAGGCCCAGGCCGCAGCCGCCTCCTCTGTAATCTGCTCCTCCCCCGCCGACTCCCCACTTTTTTTTTAATATCGTCTTTATGGCTTTGGAATTATCTGGGAGGCACAGCATTCATTTAGCCAAGGGCAGGCGGGGTCGCGGGAGACAATTCGCTCACACGAACTCGGGGGCTGATAAGGGACCCGGCCCCTCCCCGGCAGGGAGAAGGGCTGGGGACCCGGTGACAATGTGGGGTGCTGGGGACACTGTGACAGCAGAGGCCTAACGCACCTCCTCGCTCAGGACAGTCATCTAAGGCCAAGGAGGGACAGCGCAGCGGACGAGTCGAGATCGTTCCCACACCCTCCCCAGCCCCTCCCTCCCTTCCTCCCTTTCCAGGAAGCCTTGCGTGTGCGAGCACAGGCTCAGTCGTCTCGGGGTTTGGATCCCAGCCTTGCAGCCTATTTGACACCACACGATGGCTTTCACCTGCCCGAGCCTCGGTTTCCTTGCCTGTGAAGTGCGAACAGTAACAGCCCCCTGTACTGGGAGGAAGGAGGCTAAGAGAGAAAATGAGAGTGAGCTCCCGCGTGCGCCGAGCAAGGGTGGTGGCGTTGGAGCCACCATTGTTCGACTGCTTGCGGCATGGTTCTCGTGTGCTGGAGGCACAGCCCCTGTCCCCAAGCACGGGCAAGCACGGCCCTCCTCAGCACCCAAGCTGTGCCTTTAACTAGTACCCTGTTTCTGGGCAGGAACACAGCCGTGCCTCCAGGGCTGCCAGGAAAAGTGACGCTGGGCTTGAGAAGCAGATAAATAGGGGCGATTGTACCACGGCCCCTGCGATCTTCTAAAAACCTATCTTAGTTTCCCAGACTCAAAACCCTCCCATGGCTTCCCCTGTCCTCAGAACTAAATCAGAGTCCTTAGCTGGGCCTTCAAGGCTCTGCCGGGCTTGGCCTGGTTTATTTTCTCTTCTCCACTTCCTACCTGACTCACTCATTTCCAGCCACACCAGCTCTTGCTGACCTCAGGGCCTTTGCACTGTCAGGAACACTTGGCCCCCGACTTAGCTCTTCCTCCTAATTAAATTCCTAGGTTAGTGCCACCACCCTGGGGCCACCCCAGCTAATAGGCAGTGAGCACTCCTCATGCTCTCTTGGTTCCACCTTTATTCTCTTCCTTGTACTTAGTGCTGTTGGGTACTGTTTCACATCTGCTTGTCCAGCACCCGCCCTCCCACCAAAGTGCCAGCTGTGGTCAGGGATGGCTCTGTCTTGCTCACTGCTGGCCTTTCAGTAACTTATCGGGGGCCTGAAGCATAGTAGAGGCTCAGTGGTTATTTTAAAAAATTAAGTGTTGAATGTTGTTGCTTCAATGTATTTGTTCTGTCATTTGTAACCGGGTGATTTTTTTTTATTTGTTTGTTTTGCAGTACGGAGGACTGAATCCAGGGTCTTCATACTGAGCTACATCCCCAGCCCTCTTTTAGTTTTGATTATTTTGAGACACAATCTTACTAAGTCACTAAGTTGCTCCAGCTAACTTGTGACCCTCCTGCCTCAGCCTCCCCAGCAGCTGGGATCACAGGCCTGGGCGACCGCACCTGGCTCCTGGTTTCCTACCTCTTGAAACCTTCAGTGTGGTGTGAATCCAGTTGTGACGGACACTGTCCCTGGACACCTGCTCACATGCTGGGGTGCTGCCCTGGAGCGGACACCCAGCCAGCCCCGGGGACACGACCCCCGACGCATGTCCTCGGGACCTGGGCCTGCCCGCCCTGCGTGCTGTGAGGGACAGATGGTCACATCTTGGCCACCTGGTGCCAGGGGTGACTTTAGCCAGCCGGGAAAGCAGAGACGCAAAGCGGAATGAAAGCTCAGAGCGCGGGTCCGGGAAGTGCAGAGGGGCCTGGGAAGCGACAGCTGCTCTGACACAGCCATCTGGAGGGACGGAGCCGGGGAGGCGGGAGGAGCAGCGGCTCACAGAGGCCCGCGCGGGCTTGTGGGAACTCCAGGCGGGTCTTGGCTCTCTGACTATCCAAAGACGTGCCCTTGGAATGGCCGTCCTGAAGTGGGGGCCAGCAGGGATCGGGTTTATCGAAGGCCTGCTGTGCGTCGGGCTCACAAAAAACACATCGCTGTGTCCCTTTGTCTGATTGTCATGACAGCCGCTGCCAGCCAGGTAGTGATGCTCTCATTTCAGGACTGGCTCAGAGAGGGTAAGAGACTTTCCTAAAGACACACAGCTAATATGTGCCGGTTCTGGGGCTCCACCCCAGTCTGTCTAACTTCAGGGCCAGCGTTTGCTTTTCTCACCACACTGGGACACCTGCCAAATTCTGGGATGGAGACGTTGGCCAGGGCTGGGTGGGGAGCTCAGGCTGAGCACCGTGACAGCCAGGATGAGGTTTCTGAGCAGGAGGACAGTGAGGAGGGCGGGTGGGGCTGGGACTTCAGGGAGGAAGGACATTGCCGTCCCTAGAAGATGTCCTGCCTCGTCCTCCCGCCCCCCACTCTGCCGGGTCCTCGGCCCTGGCCGGGAGCCTGGGGGAGGGGAACTAAATGACATGTAATTGCCCCGGCTCTTCTGTGAAATTTGTTTCGGGACACATTAGTTCCAGTGAATTTAGCCGAGCAGCAGGGAGCCCGGAGAAATGATTTGCAATTAGCCGTGGCCCCCGGCCCCCCGTGGGGACGTGAGGCTCGGGCACTGCGTGGGGAATAGCCGGGGTGGGGAGCCTCGGGGAGCAGCGGGCAGGCGGCCGGGCGAACCTGGCATCTCAGCCCTGCTCCTCCTGGGGCTGCTGGAGCCAGCGGGAGGGGACAGGTTCCTGCAGCTCAGGTCTCCGTCCACTGCACGCCCCGCCTGTGTGGTGCAGCCACTTCCTGCCCTGTGTGTCCCCCTCGGTTATGCAGGAGGCAGGGACAGGACCCCTCGTGCACCGGGAGGAGACAAACACCTGGGTTGTGGCGGGAGCTGGACCCTCCTGGTCCTGGTGACCGGCTCCGAGGGGGCGCGGACAGGGCGGCTGTGAGGGGTCCAGAGCCAGGTGCGCCTGGAGCAGGGCCCAGCCGGGCCCCACTCTCTCTGTGCCATCTGGGGCGGGTCACTTCCACTCTGAGACTCAGTTTCCTCAGCTGAGCAATGACATTGATGTTGAATGAGGAAACACAGGCTTCTTTGCAGTGCTGGGGATGGAACGAGGGCCGGACCACGCCGGGCAGGAGCAGGGCAGCGCCACGGCCTGAGGAACGAGCTGTCCTGGCCTGGAAGAGCTCCCGAGTGACCGCCACCGTTGTCATGGTCACTGCATCCGGGTCCAGCGACACTGAGAGGGGGTGGGGGTGGCAAGGAGCCCCAGGTCCCTGCCCGGTGGCCGACGTGGCACCCGATGAGCGTGGGTGCGGCCTGCACAGGGTGACACAGGCGGGTCCGAGGGGGCTGGGCAGTGGTCACCTGTCCTTCGCGGCACGAGGAGGCCTCTGGACGGGGTCACCTGGGAGAGATCCTGGGGGTGACCTGTTCAGGGTGCTGGGGGCCCCTCCTCTTCCCTTCTCCTTTTCTCCCCTTCCCTGCAGGATCTGGGGCAGCCCTGAGCCCAGTTAACTAAGCGCCCCGTCCCCTCACCCCGGAAAGGAAGCAGGTGTCTCTCAGCTCTGTCATTCCCGGGTCACTACAGAGCTGAGGTGCGTGGAGAGCACGGCAGGGGCGGGGAGACGCCGGCGCAGCTGTGGCCAGGGCGGCCAGAGCCCTCAGCGGGGGCCACCCTGTGGCGGCGGAGGAGGAAGGGACACGGCCTCTTTGCTCTTTTGCTTCCGGGTGAGAAGCGGGGTCACGGCAGGAGCTGCCCTGGGCCGTCGCCGTGCCTGTGTGTGGCATCGCAGTCACCGTGTGGCGAGGCAGTAGAGGTGCGTCTGCGGGGGCGGCAGCCCACACTCACCACGGGGACACGGGGGACACGGCAAGCTTGCGCCCCGCCTGGACAAGGCAGGAGGGGAAGAGGATGAGAGAGAGGAAGAGGTAGAGGAAGGAAGACGAAGAGGAGGCGGAGGGAGAGGTCGAAGGGGAGAGAAGCAGAAAGACAGGGAAGAGCGGGAAGGAGAGAGATCCCTGCTGTTCGCCTGGGGCTGCTGGGCCAACCCTGCGCACAGTCCACCCTCGGCG